AGATCTGCTGGCCTGTGCCTCCCAGGTGCTGGCTCTATGGCAAGTTGTTTAGACATCTACAGAGGACTTTTCTGCCCTACAGAGCAGCAGTTAGACTCCAGGGATCGGCATGCGGGTGTCTCTGAGGAGCCAGTATTTAGTTTATGGTGCTCTTCTTACCCTGACAAGCCCTGAGCCAAGTCCACTCCTGAGTGGTGTTTATTCTCCTCTGTGAAGGACCATGCAGATTGCTGCTCTCCATTTCCAGGAGCTGAGTCTTTAATGTAGCATCTTATTAGCGTCCCTGTAAGTCTCACAGAAAACAATGCATTTGAATTATTATGCCTTCCTGTAAGTGTACAAATCAAATGTACACACACAAACTGGGAAAGTTTGGAGAACAGCATATGTCCTTGTAGCGTAGGTTCTAATGTGTATTTAAAACATGGTCTTTTTTATGTCAGTCATAACACACTAGATTTGCATGTTTTGGGAGTATTTAAGAACACATGTGTGTTTATTGGGTGTGTTTAAGTCAGAGGCCGACATTAGGTGGTGTTCTTCTGTAGCCATCTACCTTGCTGTGTGAAAAAGGCTTTCTTACAGCTAGACTATGGTGGTACATTCCTTTAATCCTAGCATTCAGGAGTCTGAGGCAGGTGCATCTCTGAGTTGAGTGGCAACCTGGTCTACAGAGTGAGTTCCAGGACAGTTAGGGCTATACAGAGAAAACCCTATCTTGGGATACCAAAAAAAAAGAAAAAAAAAAAGGCTTCCTTTTCTGGCCAAGTAGACCAGGCTAGCCAGCCAGTCCCAGGGATCTGCCCATCTTCACCTCACTGGATCTGGATTGCAGGTGCACAGTTTAGCAGCTTTTTCATGGGTTTGGGAATGAGACTCAGGTCTTCATGCTGGCTCTGAACTGTCCACCCAGCCTCCAGCACACTCAAGTGATGTCACAGCCTATTAAAGGATCGTGACATGTGTTGTTTGAGAAGCACGTCCTGGTGACTGTGGTGACGGTGGCGTAAGTGATCCTTTCTTTTTTTGTTCTTCAGTTAACTGTCACACTGGTGCCGGAGTTCTCATTCTGAAGGGACCATTCTCCATAGCAGGGACCTTTCTTTCATCAGTCCTCTTGCCTAATAGACACTTAAAGCCTAAGGCTCCTGTCTGAGTCATCTGAAGCTCATCCTGCCTAGTCCTTCTCAAACAGGAGTGTACCATTTCTTTGTCCACTTGTTTGTTGGTTTTCTTTGTTTGGTTTGTTTTTGTTTGCAACATGGTCTCACTGTGTAGCCCTGGCTGTCCTGGAACTCACTATGTAGACTCAGTTGGCCTTAAACTTACAGGCCCACCTGCCTCTTCTTTCTGGGTGCTGGGATTGAAAGCATGTGCCACCACACCTGGCTGTACATTCTTTATAACTTTTGTGTGTTTGCTTATAGAGTGCTCCTCACTGACTACAGCCTTGTTGTCTCACAAGAAAAATCTGTAAAAAATTAAGGTCAGGATCAAGAATGCCACGTTAAGTGCCACACCCTCTCTAGGACCTCCCAGATCTCCACCATTTGAGAGTATTTATGATAGTTTACCTTGGGTTTTAACATTTGCCTACTAATGCAGTTGATAGAAAGACCAAGGGAGCTAATCTATATAAAGCATAGAATTGTATATGGTGCATATCAAATGAAGACTAAAGCTGGGTGTGGTGGTGTACATATGTAATTGAGCTACTGGGGAGGCTGAGGAAGGTGTTTTGAGTCTGAGGCCAGCATGAGAAACCTTGCAGGACCTTGACTCAACACTAAACTTTTGTTTAAAGGGGAAGGACTGAGCTGGGCAGAGTGGCTCATGTACATGGGAGGCTCAGGCAGAATGATCCCTGGAAGTTCAAGACCAGCCAAGGATACAGAACAAATTCTAGGTCAGCCTGTCTCAAGACTGGAAGGAGGCTGCTGATGAGCTTCAGCGTAGGATGCCTGCCTGATATATAGAGGGCCCTGGGTTCAATCTCCAGAACCAAAAACAAAACAGAAAACCCCCAGTAAAGACTAGCAGTGGTTATAGTTGGGTCATAGTTGGGGACACTGTGTTCTGTGGCTTCTCAGCAGGACGCACTGCAGCTCAGAAACCTTCCTGTCTTCATGTTAGGCAGACAGACTCCTTACCCAAGATGAGCTCTCAGGAGAACCCGGAGGGAAGGCTTCTCTTCAGCTCGTGGTCCCAGAGTCCGCAGTCAGGCTCATCTAGACTGTTGCTTTGGGCCTGAGACAAGGTAGACACAAGGTAGCATGTCGTGTCAGGAAAATCGGTGCTTCCCAAAAGAAAGAGGAAGGGGCCACAAACAAGGCATGTCTTCTCAGGCTATGCCCACATTGTCCTGTCTTCCCTGTTGTCCCCACTTCCTGTTTCCTACCATCTCCCACTAATGCCACTGTTGATCAGGACTCAGTCAGTTCCCCAAAGTTCTGCCTCTGCACACTGTTGCATTTGGAACCAAGCCTTTAACAAGGGGACATCTCATATCCTAATCATAGTGTCTATCCCAATTCACTCTGCACCCCCATGCCTTAGTGCCATTGAGTATTTGGTGTTGGAGGGAAGTGTTAACTATTACTAGGCCTGTGTCTCAAATGGTGCTCCTATTCCATTCCGCTGACTTGGTGTCTTTGTAATTAAGGACCCCTGAAGATCTGAGGACTGCTTGTGGGAGTCTCTTTTGTGGAGAGACAGTTTTGTGCATTGTGTATTCAGATGCTGATTTCTGTACCTAGATATCTAGGTGTAGTCCAGAGTTTGTAATTGTCATCGTTATGAAGCATTTCCTGACTCAGTGTTTTGTAAGACTTTGTTCTCCAGTAACTTCTGATCGGTCAGGAAAGAGCTGGTGAGGCTGTTTGCTGCGGAGGAGAGGAGCGAGCGGGGCCTAGTGGGAGTGGGGGATTTGCTATGAGAGATTGATTCATTATGAGCTGGTCATTAGGGGTGTCACCACGAGAGGACAGGCGAGTCGGCAGCCAGGGAGAGACTAAGATGGCAAATCGTGGGCCACATGGCTGGGAAGTAGGCTGGGCCAGCATGTGGCTCAGAACCTGTGCAGCTTAGTGCCTGAAGCTTTTAGAAGGGGCGATAGAATAGCCCCCCATATGTGCTTCACACTATTGCAGTGTGGATTCTGAGACATGAACTCAAGTCTTCTTGACTTGGCAGCACATGTCGACTAGCTATCCTGCCAGTTGTGTAATAGAGCATCTTTAACTCACTGTGTAGAGATCTTATTTTGTAAGATTCCTTATAGCATGTTGGTCTACTAGAGTCATGATAATTGTGTGTATTATTTTTCATAACCAAAGTGCTTTCTTTCCACAACAGAAAACTTGAGGATTTTGTCCTTAGGAAGAAACAACATAAAGAACCTAAATGGACTGGTATGTTGTTCATTACCTTTTAAAAAGCACACCCCCCTTTTTTAAATAAAAATGGTTTTAGATTGTAGAAACTTTACTGGCAGACAACCAACTATGACAAGTAGCACCAAAGCCCTGACAGTTTAAAACTGCTCACAGCTTGCCTGACACGTTTACAATGCTTTGTAGTCAGTAAAGTGAGATTGAACTGTGTATGCTGTTTTATATCTTCTTATCTTTATTCATGTATTTTTAGTGCCTGTTTATCTATCTATCTATCTATCTATCTATCTATCTATCTATCTATCTATCTATCT